ACTTCACTTTTTAAAAATTTAGTTTCTTGATACATTTAGGTATACCTTATAATCACATTCATTGAGAGTTTATACCTGTACATGATATAACTTGATTCTTAATTTTCCCCATTCGCCTGCCCTCCCTTCAACCCCTTCCCCCATATACATAAGCTTTATTTCCATTTTTTCCTTCTTTCAATTTTTTTTCTTTCCCTTCTTTCCTTCCCCTCTCCCCCAGTTCCTCTTTCCCTTTAAACGTTTTCTTCCTATTTCACAATATCTGTTATACATTTTGGTCCTCATTTACACCTTCAGTTTCTCACAGTAGAAAAATTATTGAGCATTTACACATGTGTATCTCATTGCACTATGAGTATGGCTGTGAAGTGCATCCATTTAGGTATAAATGTCTCAAGTGTCTCTTTACAGCTGAGTTGTACTCCATTTTATAAGAAAACCACATTTTTATCTACTTACTAGTTGATGGGCTTTGAGGCTGTTTCTAAGATTTAGCTATTACAAAATGTTGCTATAAACATTAGTGCACATATGTCACGGCAGTGTGATGCTTTTAATACTTTTTGTAACATACCCAGCAGGGGTACAGCAGGGTTAACTGGGAACTCTAATCCTAGTTTTTTGAGGAAACTCCACACTGATTTCCACAGTGGTTGCACTAGTCTACACTCCCACCAACAGTGGAAATAGGTTCTTTTATCCTTAGAGCCCTGCCAACATTTGTTATTGGTTGATTTCTTGTTAGCAGCCGTTCCTTTTGGAGTGAGATGGAATCTAAGTGTTGTTTTCATCTGCATCTCTCAAATGACCAGTGATGTTGAACATTTTTCGTATGGTTATTTGCTGCATCTACTTTTTCATCTGAGAAATGTCTGCTCATTTCAGATGCCCATTTTTGAATTGGGTCTTTAAATTTGGGGGGTCTGATTTTCTTTTAAGTTTTTTATAATTTTTGGAGAGTAGTCCTTTGTCTGAGAAACAGCTGGTGAAAATTTTTTCCGACATTGTAGGTTGTAGGTTGTCTCTTAGCTCTGTTGGTGGCTTCTCTTGCAGTGCAGAACCTTTTTTTTTTTGTATCGGGGATCGAATTCAGGACCTTGCACTTGCTAGGCAGGTGGCAGCATCACTGAAGTAAATCTCAGGCTCAGAAGCTTTTTAATAAGATAAAATCCCAGTTGTTGATTCTTTGTGCTAGTTCCTGTGCTACTGAGAATTTGTTCATAAAGTCTTTTCCTATACCAGTGTCTTCAAGAGTTTTACTTAACCGATAATCCGGTAGATTTAGTATTTCTGTTTTAACATTTAGATCTTTATTCTACCTTGATTTTAGTTTAGTGCATGGTGAAAGATATGGGTCTAGTTTTAATCTGTGATAGGTTGAAATCTAGTTTTTCCAGCGCCATTTATTAAAGAGGCTAACTTTTCTCCAGTGAGGGTGTTTGGCTCCTTTGTCAAAGATGAGATGGCTTAGTATGTCTGGAGCTGTATCTGTATCTTCTAATCTATTCCACTGATCCTTGGGTCTTTTTTATTTTTGGTACCATTTTGTTTTTATCACAGTGGCTTTGTAGTATAGTTTCAAGTTGGGGATGGTGATACCCCTACCTGTCTTTGTTGCCTAGAATTGCTTTTGCTATTGTAGCTCTCTTATGGTTCCAAATGAATTTTTGGAATGCTTTCTCTAGTTCTATGAAGTATACTGTTGGGATTTCAATCGGAATTGCATTGAATCTGTGTAGCAGTTTTGGAAGTGTGGCCATTTCCACTATATTGGTTCTTCCTACCTGGGAGTAAGGGATATCTTTTCACTTTCTTATATCCTCTTCAATCTCTTTTTTCAACAACTTCATTTCTGACAGCACTTCCCAGTATTGGAATCACCACAGCAACAACTATAAAACCTGAACCAGCATAACGAAGATGGTGATCATTCCCAGGACTTGGTGTTCCATACACTAACCACTGCCTTGCCAGCGCAGGGACCCGAGTTCGATCCCCAATACCATAAATAAAGAAAATAATTTGCAAACAATTTCCTGTTCAGGTCACTAAAATCTGACGATACAATGACATTTATTAAAATAAAGTCAAGCTAGTGAAAGATGCATGTATCAGGCTGGATGTAGTGGTACACCCTGTAATCTCAACACTCAGTTGGAGGCCAGCCTGGGCTACATAGTGAGTTCAAGGCCAGCCTGAAGTACAAACTAAGACCCTGTCTCAAAAAAGATGCGTGTATAGTTATTTTAAAATGTAAACCTTTGCAATCTCTAACTGAAGAATGTAAGAAAATCCTAAAAGTTCATTTAATATATAGATACTTTTGTATGCAACACATTTTCCCCTTGAAATCACAACATATCACAAATGATGGTTAAGTTGCTTAGTGAGTACCAAGAAACTGTTTAGCCAGTTATATGATATAGTGTTACAATGTTAATTATAACTATAAGCCTTTCTAACATCGTGGTTGGAAGGAATTAGGATCAGGGAGCTTGAGCTTTGGCAACAGCAGCTCTGGCTGTGATAAGGAAAGGATTATATCAGTGAACAGGACTCTGGCAGAAAGAAATAGCTCACTTGGGTAGAAGTGGAAGAGTGTGTCTGAAACTAGGGGTGCAGTGATCCTATAGTTTGTAAACCAGACTAGAAAGTAGTGAATGTGCCTTAAACAACTTGACATGTACTTCTTGAAAGGCTTATTACAGTAAATATAGCTCTTTAGGCAAACATGCACTTTATTAAAGTGGTTCAGTTGCCATGACAACATATCTGGAATTTATAGTTCTTGTTTTGAGAGGGCTTTATTTCCACTTTCTGAGGCCCTGAGATTCAAGGCTAAAGTTTTTAAGGTCTCTCAGTCTCATTGTATGATGAATTTTTGTTCTGTGGAAAATTTAGACATGCGAAATTTAGTTTGCAGAATTAATCTTGTGACTTTACAATAATAAACATGAATTTTAAATTTGTATTTTTCAATTTTGAAATACCCTCATTTAAAAAAATTTACTTCCTAAATGACATAATATAGTTTAACAACTTGAAATAATCATTCTAAAAAACTTTAGTGTCCTACAATTAGTCCCCAGTAGCAACCACTTTATAGCTTTTTTTTTTTTTTTTTTTTTTTTTTTTTTGGTACCGGGGATTGAACTCAGGTCCTTGCGCTTGCAAGGCAGGCCACTGAACTGCTGAGCTAAATCCCCGGCCCTATAGCTTTTTGAAAGGCTGTACTTTTAGTATTTTTTCCAAATCCTTTAACATAGTGCTTATAAGGTTTCTTAGTGTGCATTACTACTTGCTTTGTAATCCTAACAGTTACCATTTGGATCCTCCATATGTGAAATAAAATTTTATCTCTTTTCCTCTGTTCCCTCCCTTCACATACATACATACCTTTCCTCTATTTCATCCTTCCATCTAAGTGATAAAGCTTTACTGATTTTATAGAAGCATACTACTTTTGGCTTGGCCAGCATTTATTTGTATATTAATACAACTTTGTATAAAATATTCACAGGCAAACTATGCATCATACTATGGATTTTTTAAACCATATTGTATTACAATACACAGATAACTTCTCAAATTCTTAACTCTTTCTGGTAAAAACACTCAAACTTCTTACAGCTCTTACATATATTTTTTCATTACCTATAGTCACCCTACTGTGCAATAATATACCAGAATGTTTTACTTCTATCTAAGTGTACCTTAGTATCCTTTGATCATGTTTTCTTTCTTCCAGAATTCATTTTCTTTGAAGTTAGTAAATTTTAAGCTAATTTTAATTTTAAGAAGCTGCTAGAGAATGTGCTACTATTGCTACTGCTGTTGCTTCTCTTTCCTCTTCTTTTTTTCTTTCTCTCCTCCTCCTTTTCTATCTTCATCTACTTCTTGTTCCTTCTGCTTCTCTTTAGCTGTCTGTGTGCCCCCCCAAGTTATCCTCAAAGTTTCCCTAATGATTTAATCTCTTCTTGAGAGCTAATTTTCTGTTTATCCTAGCCTATCTATTTGTAAGCATGTGTGTTCAATTTATTACACTTAACATTGTGGTCTCAAGGTACATCCACTTTCCTACAAATGACTGAAGTTTATGGCAGAGTAGTACTTCATTGTGTGTGAATACCACATTTTTAACTCTACCTACTTTTGTAAGCCTACTTATGCTTCTTTATGTTAAAAAATGAACTAACGAACTTTCCTTGAACCTTAAGCTTCAATCACAGACTTAATATTTTGCACTGTTTAAAAGATAAAAGTTGCAGTTCTTCTAGTTTTTCTCCTTTCATTTTCTCAAATCTATCCTGACTACTCTTCTGCATAACATTTTAAAGGGCTGGGAATTTAGCTCAGTGGTTCTGCTGCCTGCCTGGCAAGTGCAAGGACTTGAGTTTGATCCCCACTACCCAAAAAAATTGTTTTTGAAGTCATCTTCAGTACAAAACTACTAACCCATCTTGATCATACCCTGCTTGACTCTTCTTTTTTTTTACTTATTTTTTCTTCTAATTCTTATTTTGTTTTTGTTTTGCCTCTCATTTCCCATTTTCCGTATCCCTTTCTTTCACTTCCTTCCTTCCTTTTTCCATCCCTCCCTCCCTTCCTTCCCTTCCTTCCTTTTTTTTGTTTTTGTACCAGGGATAAAACTCAGGGCCTTATGCTTGGGAGGCAGGTACGGTGCCCCTGAACTAAATCCCTGACCTCCATCCCTCTTTTTCTGTGTGTCCCTTATATGTGGTTTTCTATTTCTTAGGCCTCCTAGAGAAGAAATGGGGTAAAATTTCATAGATCTACTGATATTAAGAGACTTAACTGGGCTGGAGATTTAGCTCAGTGGTTCTGCTGCCTGCTGTGCAAGCACAAGGTCCCGAGTTCGATTCCTGGTGCAAAAAAAAATAGACTTAACTAATTTTTGAGGCATTTTTCTTGCTTTATTAAAAGTGACATGTTTAATAAAAATTTTATGATGTTAATTAAGTTTAACTTTTAATATTTAGGCAGGTGCAGTAAAGGATTATATTAAGATGATGCTTCAGAATGATTCACTTAAATTTCTGGTTTTTGCTCACCATTTAAGCATGCTTCAAGCTTGCACAGAAGCAGTAATTGAAAACAAGGTATGTTGGCATTTTCCTATAAAATAATTCTTAGAATGAAAATTTTAACTGTTCTAAATATTACTTTTATAACCTCATAATATAGCTATGCTTTTGCCTTCTTTAAATGATGTCTTATAAAATTTATTTTATAATTTATTAAATATTTGTCATATAAATTATACTAATATACTATTATGGTGATATGCTATTTTTTTCTTTTATACCAATCTTAATATTTTCCTCTGATAATTTATCTGAATTGATTAATTATGTGCTGCCCTAATAGCTATCATGTGAATTCTGGTTTTCTTCCTGGGTATACTGATGTAGTCACAAATATAAATAAAAGTTAAATTTTTATTTAACCTTCATGGTGGCCTTTGAATGGTGTGATATACAGCAAGAATTAGTGCCCAAGTACAGTCATATCTTTTAAACAATATAATCTATAGAAAATGATTATTTAGCATAGATGAATTTGAAACATGTGGCCAATGTAATTTATTAGGTTAGCTTCACCAAATTAGCTGGCATCACTCCATTTTCCTAGGTCTACCTTGATTTCTAATAGTCCTGTTAGTGGCAACATCTTCCATTTTTCCTAGGTAAATATCTGTTTTCATTCTCTGTGAATGCTGAGAGCTTCTAGGGATGTTCAGAAACAACCAAAAGAAGTTTTCTGGCCGGGCGTGGTGACACATGCCTATAATCCCAGCACTTAGGAGGCCAAGGCAGGAGGATCACTATGAGTTCAAGAACAGCCTGGGTTACATAGTAAGTTCCAGCTCAGTCTGAACTACATAGTGAGACCCTGTCTCAAAAAAAAACAACAAAAAAGTTTTCTGACAAATAGTTTGACCTTAATATACATGTAACAACAAAGCCTCTTGCCAATATAGGTAGATGTTTTTAAAAATTTGGTATACATTTTTAAAAATTTATGTAATGCTAGTGTTTCCTTTATAGAATTTGTGATAACATAGTATAAAAAAGTACTTTCATTATATTAAAAGGCTCTTTCTTTCTCAAGGGCCAGGGATTTAGTTCAGTGGTTCTGCCACCTGCCTTGCAAGCACAAGGACCCAAGTTCAATCCCTGGTACCAAAAAAAATAATAATTAATATTAAAATTTAAAAATAAAAGGCTCTTTCTTTCTCAAGGGCCAGGGATTTAGTTCAGTGGTTCTGCCACCTGCCTTGCAAGCACAAGGACCCAAGTTCAATCCCTGGTACCAAAAAAAATAATAATTAATATTAAAATTTAAAAATAAAAGGCTCTTTCTTTCTCAAGGGCCAGGGATTTAGTTCAGTGGTTCTGCCACCTGCCTTGCAAGCACAAGGACCCAAGTTCAATCCCTGGTACCAAAAAAAATAATAATTAATATTAAAATTTAAAAATAAAAGGCTCTTTCTTTCTCAAGGGCCAGGGATTTAGTTCAGTGGTTCTGCCACCTGCCTTGCAAGCACAAGGACCCAAGTTCAATCCCTGGTACCAAAAAAAATAATAATTAATATTAAAATTTAAAAATAAAAGGCTCTTTCTTTCTCAAGGGCCAGGGATTTAGTTCAGTGGTTCTGCCACCTGCCTTGCAAGCACAAGGACCCAAGTTCAATCCCTGGTACCAAAAAAAATAATAATTAATATTAAAATTTAAAAATAAAAGGCTCTTTCTTTCTCAAGGGCCAGGGATTTAGTTCAGTGGTTCTGCCACCTGCCTTGCAAGCACAAGGACCCAAGTTCAATCCCTGGTACCAAAAAAAATAATAATTAATATTAAAATTTAAAAATAAAAGGCTCTTTCTTTCTCAAGGGCCAGGGATTTAGTTCAGTGGTTCTGCCACCTGCCTTGCAAGCACAAGGACCCAAGTTCAATCCCTGGTACCAAAAAAAATAATAATTAATATTAAAATTTAAAAATAAAAGGCTCTTTCTCATTGAGGAAGAGTTAACTTACAAATAAATTTTAAATCACTGAGCAAACAATTATATTTATAATATTTTCTTCTGGTTCTACAAGCTATTAGAATCCATTTAAAGTATAGCAAGCTATATATTTTTTCCTACATCCATATAACTGATATCCTTAAATTTAACTTTGTTAAGAGTTTAAAACATAGGTACTTAGGGAATGGGAGGTAAACTTTATCAGATTTCTTCTTCTCTATTTATTTTCTCTTTTAAAAAAATCTTTTCTTGGGCCGGGGATTTAGCTCAATGGTTCCGCCACCTGCCTTGCAAGCACAAGGACCCAAGTTCAATCCCCGGTACCAAAAATAAATAAATAAAGTAAAATAAAATAAAAAATCTTTCCTTAACAGATACTGAGAGAATCACTGATAAATTTATATTTGCTTTGTGACAACAGAAAGCCAATAAGATACATTCTGTTGAATGTTTAGTTTGGATATTCCACTTAAAAGTGAATAATCATGTGTCACAACTGCTGAAGTCTCTTTTTATAGAAGCACACATTTGAATGAAACTCCTTGAAATTTAGGGCTTATATTTGTTTTTATGAAATTGAGTTATGAGTTATTTTAAGCATTTTAATGCACTCTGGTTTTTCCTTTTCATAACTCAGACTGTTCTTAAAAACAACAGTATTCAGGGCCGGTTATTTGTGTCAGTGTTTCCGCCACCTGCCTCGCAAGCACAAGGGCCCAAGTTCAGTCACTGGTACCAAAAAACAATAACAATAAAAAAACAGTATTCAGTTTAACAATGTTTCTCAACTTTTCAAAGATGTATGTGGCTGTCTCAATTTTCCACCTCAGCAGGAAAGATCGTATTACTTATTTCTTTTAAGTTAATAATGTGAAAAAAAAGCTGAGTCAAGTGGTAGATTAAGAATATAGATATGTGGAGAAAGAGGAGGTGCAAAACAGAAGACAGAGAAGAAGTAGGGGAGATCTCTTTTAAAGGGGTGGAGGAACAAGAAATGCAGGGAGGAAAGGGAAGGAAGGAAAAGGGAATGGAGGAAAAAGAGGTGAGTGGGAAAATGATGAAAATAGAGCTATTGCAAGTGAGAAGGGGATCAAGAGTTGGAAGAAGCAGGGAGGGAGAGAAGGGGTAGGAAATGAAAGGGGGAAAAAAGAAACATTATTTAAAATGCATTATATACATGTACCAACTCCCCACAATAAGCATAACCATTATGTACTGAAAACATGTACTATACTAATAAAAAATAATGGAAGAATAACACTTCCCTAGCTAATATTTGGGTTGTACTTCAGAAATAAATGCATTATTCTTTATGAATCCTTACTACATCAGCAAAATCATCTTTCTTCTCTTTTACATGTCTACCTTTACTTTTGCTTTGGAATTGACTTTAAAATTAATGTATTTAGCCCAGGATTTGGCTCAGTGTTTCCGCCGCCTGCTTTGCAAGCACAAGGGCCTGAGTTCAATCCCTAGTACCAAACAAAAAAAAAATTTAAGGTGCTTATTCTTTGAAATTTGTGTATCAGTTTACAGACTTATTAAAGATAATATTAGTTTAAATGTTAATTTAACTCTTCAAAAAAGAATTGTAGAACCCCTGTTATAATTAAAGCATTGCCATTGGTGTTGATATTATAAAAAATGAAGCTGGGCATGGTGTCACATGCCTGTAATCCCAGCATTTGGAAGGCTGAGGCAGGAAGATTGCTTTGAGTTTGAGACCAGCCTGGGCTACATAGTGAGTTCCAGGTCAGTCTCAACTACTTAGTGAGACTCTGTCTCAGAAAAAAAAAACAGCAACAACAACAACAACAAAAATGAATTAGACACAGACCTTCCTCTAGTAGCTTTGTGACTAAAAACAACAAATTATTATAAGAAGCTATTAAAACACTTGGTTAAGACTCTTCTTATTCAACATTTGCCAACCTGTCATCTTACACAATTCCTTTTTTTTAATATGACCATAGAAATGAGCTATAAAGTATGTAAAACAAGAAGGGCACATAAAGACTTGTCCTAATTTTTCTATTTTTCTTTTTGATGCCAGACACGTTATATTAGGATAGATGGAAGTGTTCTATCTTCAGAAAGGATACATCTGGTTAATCAGTTTCAAAAGGATCCTGATACTCGTGTGGCTATCCTAAGCATTCAGGCTGCTGGCCAGGTGAGAAATTTCAGGTCTAAATTTGATAAGAAAATGCCACTGATATAGTGAAAAGGCCATTATCCATAATTTTGTTTTGTAGTTTTTGTTTGTAACTCTTTTGGCTGGAAGTAACTTTGTATCTGGGTTTCTAGTGTAGTAAATATTCTACTTCAGAGAGTGCTATAAAGTACCATATAGCTTGCATGGTGGTATATACCTGTAACTGAAGCACTCAGGAGGCTGAGGCAGGAGGGAGGCAGGAGGATCACCTGGAGTTCAAGGCCAGCGTGAATTACGCAAGGAGACCTTATCTCCAAAAATGAAAATACAATAGAAAGAAACCTCAGTATCCTTGATTCTGGCCAGGCATGGTGGCACACGTCTGTGATCGCAGCACTTGGGCAGCTGAGGCAGAAGGATTGCCACAAGTTCACGGCCAACCTGGACTACATAGTAAGTTAAAGGCCAGCCTAAACTACATAGCAAGACCTTGTCTCAAAAAAACGAAAAAAATCCTTATTAAATTTTTAAAAATCTTAATAAATTTTCAAGGAAAGAACTACCAAGAAGAGTATAGTTAGTTTGATTGTAATACTTTTTCATGACGTTTTTTTTGGTTCCTTTGTATTTGCATAGATAGAATTTTCTCATAATTTTGTCTTACTTGGTTGCATTTCATTAGGGTCTGTGAGATAACATGGCCTAGGATGAGAGTTCTTCTGTCTTAGCATTTGTTATAGAGTGGCCCTGGTTTGTCCCTTACTACTAGGTTTGGTTATAAGTAAATGTAAACTCAGATTAAGAGTGACTTAAATACAGTTTCAGTCTCTCAAGTAAACAGTTCAAACCAAGCATGGTGTTTTCACAAAGTCCTTTGGACCCATCCCCTTCCAGCTTTCTGCTTTACCATTTCAAGCAAGTGTCTCTTATCTAAGAGGACTGCTAGACCTCCATTATATCTGCAGTCCAGGCAGTGAAGGAAAGCACCTTTTATCTCACTCACCTGTAGTTTGTTAAAGCACCTTTTATCTCACTCACCTGTAGTTTGTTTCATGGCCACACCTACCTAAAAGGGAAACTGGGAAGAGTAGTCTGGTGGCCCTGCTAAAAATCAGGTATTATCGGAAAAAGGAAAAGCGAAGAAAAAATATTAGGGAAAGCAATTGCACACTAAATAAGAGGGGATTTTTTTTCTGCTACATTCTAAAATGTTTTGGTGTAAATGTCCAAGCCAGGACATTTAGGATAGGGAAGAATAATTGAGCATATCTTCTGTGCCATCAACCTGGTGTATGCCAAAAATCTGCTTTTACCTAGCTAACTGTAGTAATACAAACATACATGCATATGTGATATATGTGTGTGTGTGTGTGTGTGTGTGTGTGTGTGTGCATACATACATACATACAGAGAGAGAAACTGAGGGTTAAGAAGTTCTGGGACTCATTAATTCTAACTAAAAGGAGGTTTGTCTCAACACTTCCCTTCATGTTGAAGGATATTAAATTTCCAATAGTCTGAGTTTTATACCAGTTATAGTATTCCGGTAGAGAATAATATCTTCTTGAAGAGCTTTAGCCAGGAGTGGTGCACACCTCCAATACCAAGCACTATGGGAGGGTGAAGCAGGAGGATCACAAACTCAAGCCTACCTTAGGCAACTTAGTGAGATCCCATCTCAGAATTAAAAAAAAAAATAAAAAAGGTTGTAGGTAGCTCAGGACAAAGGCCCTGAGTTCAATCATCATTATTGCTGGCGGGTGGTCCAAAACATTAGAAATGGAAGACTTGTGGCAGGGGAGGTGATAAGTGGGAGAAAGTGGAGAAGTGGGTGATAAGTGGGGGAAAATTAAAAATAAATGACTTTTTGAAATCAAGAATGTGCAGGGCATTCCCATTTATTCAAGTCTGTATTCCTAAAGGCCTTGGTGTAATTCAAGACTAGGTATACATACAGATTAATATCTTCATAATGATAAAGGAAAATAGAAAGTGCTTTCTTCTAGATGTTGTGAATCTTACATCGTATTTTAATAGCTCCTTAGGGTGACATTAATCTTGTGAGCATATTTTCTCTTTATTCTGATAGTGTTTGATGCTTTTACGAGCTAAAAGGTGTCCCTGTTTATTTTTTCAACATTATCTCTAATATCTTATGGCATTTTTGGTCCTAAGTACCTGCACAGTTTACCACTGTGTTGGTTTGACTCTAACCATGTTTTGCTATTTCTAGACTACTTTATAAAATGCCTGGTTTTCAGTGGTTTTTTTTTTCTACTTGAGAACTGGAATCCCATTTAATGAATATGATTATGACTTTTTTATGTGATATGAAAATATTTTAAGTTAAAATAACATCAAAGTAATAGCAAAAGAATCACAAAGTCACTCACAGAAATTCCAGTTTATGTGAACAACAACATGATCTTTAAAGTCATACATTTTTGACATCTTTCTCCTCAGGAGATTATTTCATATACTAATTTTAAAAGAAGACTTAGTTGATATTTTTATGTCCTACTATTTCAAGATCCTGTAAAATGCAATTGAAAAAAAATTGTAGAAACACTATATTTGTGATACAAAGCAGTAAACTTCAAGGTCTTCAGGATGTAACATGAGAAATTTACAGGAAAGAAATAATGTGACTGGAAAATGATTTTCTTCATCATATAGCAGTTTGAATTAAATGAAGAGGTTGTCAGTGCTCTCTGCCTAGTTGCTATGGATACCATGTGTTAGAAATTATTTTTTCGTTTATAGTGGATTTTATTAGATTTTCCAATGATAAAGTGAACCTAGTCTTCATCAAAGGTTGAAGTGATTTTTTTGTGTGTGTATATATACATATATTAACCTGACTTTTTAAATACTGAAATGCATTGTTTACCTGGCTGTCTTGCAATAAGCAGTCTTCATTGGCCTTTCATGATATACATCTTAATTTGGCTTATAGTGAACAATTGGCTTGTTTTTAAGTCCTTCAGTATTCTCTTCCCCATTTATCATGTTTATATAGGACTCTTATGCTACAATCTCTGTTTATTTGCATCTCAGTCTCTTTGCTTTATTTTGCTTAGGGTTTGACATTTACTGCTGCAAGTCATGTTGTATTTGCTGAGTTGTATTGGGACCCTGGACATATAAAACAAGCAGAAGATCGTGCTCACCGAATTGGACAATGCACTTCTGTGAATATCCACTACCTTATTGCAAATGGGACTTTAGACACCTTTATGTGGGGAATGTTGAATCGAAAGGTAAAAGTTCAGTTTTATCCAGGCTGCTGACCTTCTTAGTATAAATCGAGACCCAGTTTTAATATGTTCAGGCAAAGGATACTTAAATATAACAAAATAATGATGATAATGGAGACCAAGTTCAGAAAAGGGTTCCATTAGTAGTACCCTGACTACTGTTGCCTATAATGAGAAGCATGAATTGATATATATTCCTGTTATTTTCTAAACCTTTCTTATTAATGTAATTAATTAATGCCTTTATTAATCTTACTTTATCTGTGTGTGTGTGTGTGTGTGTGTGTGTGTGTGTGTGTGTGTGTTGCACTTGGTTGGAACCCAGAGCCTCACAAATGCTAGGCAAGTACTGTATCACTGCTTCTATGACTTGTTTTTATTTTTGTTTGCTTCTCCTACTTTAGTGTCTTGATGAATAGGATTAGCTAATATGGAACCATAGTGTTCGAAGCTCTAAGTCTGTTTTGTGGCCTAAGAATAAATCTTTTCCAGAAAAATTATTGAACTCTCAACTAATACTAGACTCCAGCAAAAGTAGGAATGATACCGTTTGCTGTTCTCTCAGCTCTGTTCTATTGTCTTAGCTCTCTCTTCTCTCCAGTCTTGAAGGATGTCTATAGTAAGCATTTGGCTAAGAATTAAAGGATTTCTGTCTTAGTGACGGCTACTGTAACAAAGTAGCACACATGGGATGGCATATAAACAATTGAAATTTACTTCTTATGATTCTCCTGGTTGAAGTCCAAGATCAAGTTACCAGCATGGTCAGGTTGTACTGAGGGTCCTTTTCTGAGTGAGACTGCTGACTTCTTGTATTTTCATCGGGTAAAGGAGGACAAGAGAACTCTCTGGAGTCTGTTTTATAAGGACATTAATCCCACCCTTGAGGACACCACCTTCACGATATAATCAACTTCCAAAGGCTTCCTCCTCATGCCAGCACATTGAAAGTTAGGATTTCGATATAATGAACTTGGGAGAGAGGGCACAAATATTCATTCTGTTGCAGTGTTTTCTAAGTTGAGTATAGGTATTTAAAATGGACAATTTAAATTGGCTAAATTTCAAAGTACATAATAAATATTGGAATAAAAAATTTTATGAGAAAATCAAATAGTGTAATGTTTCTATTTAGATTTTTTCCTCATTAAAGATAGAAATCATTGATTTGGTACTTTGATTATAATTTTGAGTAATTATATTACTAAAGCCCACGATATGTTGGAAAAATAAGATTTTCTTAGTGGATAGCTTGTGATTTACATTCACAATCCAGTTGCTGCTTAGTGAATGTGAGCTGTTGTAAAATTCATGTGCTGTTCCACCACACAGGCTCAGGTCACAGGGAGCACACTGAATGGGAGGAAGGAACAACTTCAGGCTGAAGAAGATGATAAGGAGAAGTGGGATTTCCTGCAGTTTGCTGAAGCATGGACTCCAAGTGACAGTTCTGAATCACTCAGGAAAGAAGTCTTGTTCACTCCTGTAAGGTTATATGACGTTGTCTCTTGTACTTCTGTAACATCCTGAAATTATAACTGTAACATACAGTGTTTTAAATAGCAGCTCTCAGTTACTCATGCTCTTGAGAGGGGACTACAGTTACAACCAGAAAATCTCATAGGACCAAAAATTAAATTAATAGGAGGGGCCGGGGATTAAACTCAGTGATTCTGACACCTGCCTCGCAAGCGCAAGGACCCAAGTTCAATCCCTGGTCCCAAAAAGATTAAAAAAAAATTAATAGAAGGAGGTTTATACAGTGTCATGTGTTTTCCACCAGCTTCATCAGTCATTGTTCAAATCTGTAAATAACAAGCTGAGTACAATACAAAGTCCAGAAAAAATTAGTGGAGGGTATCTTTATGACCCTGAAGGTAGGGAAGGATAGATGAAATTTGCCTCAAATGCAGAAATAATAAAAAGATTGAGATATTTGACTACATCAAAATTTAAAATTTTTGGGCTGGGGATTTAGCTCAGTGGTGTTGCTGCCTGCCTCGCAAGCACAAGTACCTCAGTTCAATCCCTGGTACCCCCGCCAAAAAATTTAAATTTTTGTTATACAAAATGTCCCATAAATAAGTCAAAGACTCAGTAAAGACAGTTGCAGCATAATCCAGAGTACGTAAAGAATTTATACAACTCAATAAAACAAGCAAGCCAAAAGAACAATAGGTAAAGAATATATCAGAGGGGACCTCAGTAGCCAAAAACATGATAAGAAGTTTTGCCTTACTAAGACAAGGTATATTATGAAAATAACTTTTCCCTTTTGCAGTTGGTAAATAGTCGATGGTATGACACTTTCAGGTCACGTGACCATCTTGTTCTGAAAATTTTCATACAGTGGTTCTAGCATCATTGATGGCTTTTGCTTGAATCAGTACTGAAATAGTTAGTGGTTTTTCTAATTCTATCATTGCTTCTATGTTTAATGACTGTTATTTTCTGTAAGAAGGTTGTTATTTCTCCCTTTAAAAAAAGATTAAAAAGTTGAGATTCTCTTATTTTTGTTATTAATATTTAATGTATTATAATTCTTCACTTATTTTTTCTGTTTATGCTTAGATCTTGCTGGTAAAATCTCCTTCACACTAGTTCTTTTCTTTTTTAAAAAACCACCTCCTCACAATTCTCTGAGTACTTCTTTACTTTCTGGTAAACAAAATATTCCAGGTTCATTTTGAATTTTCTTTGCCTCTGGCTTGGAACTGGCTACTTCTTTAAGGAATCCTTGTTCCTCGTAAAATGCTATTTAGAAATTATCTATCTATCTATCTATCTATCTATCTGTATCTTTCAAAGTTTAGTGTTACTTTGCACAAATTTTCCAGTCTTTGTATGGCTTTATATAAGTTGACATCTTATACTTTAGGAATCTTTGGTTTGTTTTTAGTTGTTTTGCTTTGTTTTGTTTGTTTGTTTGTTTGTTTGTACCAGGTCAAACTTAGGAACTTGCACTTGTGTGGCAGGCACAGTGCCACTGAGATAAATCCCCAGCCCTGTTTTGCTTTGTTTATACTTAGGAAACGTGATTTGATTAACTTTAGGTGGACACGGCCTCTATACCTTTTAGCCTCATGCATTTAAGAAATATTCAGTTTTTTAAAAGGTCTATGAAATGTGTGTGTGTGTGTGTGTGTGTGTGTGTGTGTGTGTGTGTGTGTGTGTATACCAGAGATCAAACTCGGACCTTGTGCTTGCAAGGCAAGCTGCTGAACCACTGAGCTAAATCCCTAGCCCAGGTCTATGAAAATTTAATCTTAATAGTAAACATTTTTCTTTTGAATGTTGCCAGAATTTTAGTATTTTCTCTGAGTACTTTAAGTCTTAAATTTTTCATCAGCATTTAGTATTTTTAAACTTTTGCAAATTAAACTAACTTGCCAATTGTCATCAAAAACTTGCTTAACTAGGGCCAGGGATTTAGCTCAGTGGTCCTGCCTTGCTCACAAGCGCAAGGTCCCGAGTTAGATATCTGGCACCAAAAAAAAAAAAAAAAAAAAAAACTTGCTTAACTAGCCAAGCATGGTGGCGCATACCTAAATAAGCACTCAGGAGACTGAAGCAGGAGGACCACTGTGACTTCTAGGCCAGCCTGAGCTACAATAGTGAGCTCACAGCCAGCCTGAACTGCATGGCAAAGACCCTGGCTCAAAAAGAAAAACTAGAGACTCCAAAATAACAACTACACTTGGGGTGGGGGAAACTTGCTTAACTAAAAAGTTTATAGCAGTTCTTTTCTTTTTTGGTTTTTTGAAACAGGGTCTCACTATGTAGTTGAGACTGATCTGGAACTATGTAGTCCAGGCTGGTCTCAAACTCACAGTGATCCTCCTGTCTCAGCCTCCCAAGTGCTAGGATTACAGATATGTGCCACCACACCCAGTTAGATAGCAGTTCTAATTGGCTGTTGTTTTTTTTAGTTAATTAATTTGGAGGTGGGATTGAATTTAGCACCTTGTGCTTGTGAGGCAGGCGCAGTGCCCCTGAGCTAAATCCCTGGCCCTGTATGGCATATTTGCCTGTTCTATATATAAGTGAACAGGCCTGCCTGGGAGTCAGTCACGAGTGCCTCAGATCCAATCAGTTCATTTATACCACTTCTTTGTTTTTCAAACTTCTGGATGTACATGCCATTTAAGTACCCATGATAGTTGAATGTTTGAAAAGGGTGAATTTATGGTAAATAAATTGTATCTCAGTAAGGCTTTTTTTAAGATTACATGCAAACGTGAGAATGTAAAGATGAAGAAAATAGCTAACTTTCCTTTGGAGCCTACTCTAATTAGGGGAGATAATTATTAAATTATTTTAAAGCAGTATGATAAATGTTAAAATTGACATATGTAAAGCAGGCTCTGGGAACTTAGGACATAATAAACCACTTTGGCCATGTGGGAAACTTTCCCTTAGGAAGTATCTGAGCTAGATTTTGAAGAATGAATTCCACATAAGTAAGTCCTATTTCAGGCTAGAGGAACACCAAAAGGACCCTCAAAATCATGGTGATGTGAACAGATATCATTTGTTCTAGGAATGGCAAGTCTATGTGAATGTGTGAATTTAGAGCACACAAGAAGTGAGTCAAAAGAGAACAAGCCTAAAACTTCTGCACTAACCACGTGGAGAGAAACCCTACATGCCATGCTAAGAAGTGTGACTTTATCCTGGAAGCATGTAGTGTCATTGGAGATTTTAAAAGAAGATAAATGACATTATCAGATTTCTGTTTCAAAGATAATTCTAATGGCAATGTGGGAAAAGAATGGGAGAGAGAAGAACACAGTATCTTGGAAGTAATGCTAATTGGGGAAATAGACTATGTCTTCCCCAACCTACCTATGTAATTTCTGACTATAATGAAGGGATTTCCTGTCTTCCCTGTTGTCCCAAAACAGTTGGGGGTCAGGCCTGGACCTTAAAACAAAAATGGTGCACAGGCATACACTATTACTTGATTCATTTAACCCTGTGATTTACATTGTAGGGCTCTGTACTTTAAATTCTAATTGTCTTTATTAGATGATACAGCCATTTCCTAAGGTATTTGTATGTGCTGGTCATTTTGGGGGTTGTTTTGTTTGTTTGTTGAGACAAGGTCTTGCTATGTAGTTCAGGCTGGCCTTGGAACTCATGGTTGCCCATCCTCCTGCCTCAGCCTCCCAAGTGCTGGGATTACAAGCCCCTGCCATCATGCCCAGCCTTGCTATCATTGTTAAAAATAATTAATAACATTTTAATTTTATCATTTTTATTTTAACCAGAATAGTGTTTCACTTGGTTTATTCTGTTCTTTGTCTACATAGAAAAACTAGTGGAACCTAAAAGTTGATCACTGTCAAAATTTTATTCAGTTACATGAGCATAAACATTTTATGGAAAATGTGAAAAAAACAGAATTTATTTTTTAGGGTAATTTGAATACTTTTTTTTTTAAATTAGATGATTAAAAGCCTACTCAGTTATTCTATATCCTTTGGAAACAGACTCTTTCTGGCTTTTTTACAAATGTTAATGGGGATTCTTGTAGTTTCAGTCATCAATCTGGTATCCTTCAGGACACCAGCATTATGTTCCATTCATACATTTTTAAAACAGAGGCTTATTAATTTTTTCAGGAGCAGGAACTGAATGGAGGCAGCAATGACTCTGACCAGAGCTATGCTCTGATCAAAGTCTATTAAACCTGACATCAGTGCTTTTTGTTGATAGCCTGTGCTTTGCTAGAGTATCACCAAGCTTTGAAATGCATTATTTTTTTATGAGTCTTACTATATTTCCTTTTCCTTTCCTTCAGTTTAATAACTGACTTTTAATCCTGTCATCACAGCAACGGGATTTGTCTCAAAAGAGCAGTAGTTTACTATGATGCAAACCAGAGCAAATAGATTAGGTCCCTGAGCCTTTCAGATTAAAACATGTGTTTTGTGATTTTAAGTGTTTTGCAATTTTTATTCCCAGCACCTCTCACCGAAGGCAGTATTTCTTTCATTTTTCAAAAACAATATTTAACAGGGGCTGGAGATTTAGCTCAGTCATTCCACCACCTACCTGCCTTGCAAGTGTAAGGTCCCAAGTTCTATCCCTGGTACCAAAAAACCAAAAAAAAAAAGTAGGAGCACGATAGAGTGTCAGCTGTAAAACTGAAGAAAAACATGTGTTCTTCTGTCCTCCACAGTATTCATAACATGGCATATTGATTTAACTACATTTCCCCATAAATCTTGTGATGAAAATTACTGGAGGCTCAGATTACATCTTTTTAGAAACACCTACATTTACATTTCTTATTTATCACACATTAAGGGGGCAATTTACTCTAATTATTCTTTATAGGGATGAACACATGTGATGGCTAGGGTATTTGTCAATAACTTATTACTATAATGTCTTTTCTAAATGGAGGAATGTTGTTATAAGACAAAAGAAATTTTAACTTGCTCTTGCTATTCAGGAACAAAGCTTTAGTAGGCCATAAA